TTTTACTTTTCTTTAATGATTTTTTGCTTGCAGAAGAGCCAAAAAGTTGTTGAGGGCCATGGATGGTGGAACAAATACTAATCAATGTGAGGTACTCTTTTTTGTTACTTTTGTGTATTCTTGATGAGCATTGGCACATTTGTATATCTTTTTTTAGAAAAAAGAAGAAATTATACTTTCGACATATACAACTAGAGATTGGGACATTAGCTTCTCTTAAAAGCAAAGTCTTTTCTTTATCTTAATCCACTATATATGTTGTGTGCATGTAAGTATCACAATGAACATATAAAATTTAAAGTTGGACTTGTTGGAAAATTATTGGCTGAATTTAGACCATAATTGTGGAAAGCTGTTGAAATCTTGTCAAGTAATCAGATTAATTATACTTGAAATTATCGTAGGCAAGCTAATCAGAGTACTCTTGTCAAGTAATCAGAGAAATTAGACTTTAAAGATACAACTCTGATTATTGGCTGAATTAGACGATGCTTAAAGTACTCCATCAAGAAATTATACTTTTAACCTAGTGCATTATATATGAATAGTTCGTGTATTCTTTCCTATCACCATTAATTAAAGTACACCATCACTTTTCATTGATGACAAAGTTGCATCTTTATATTTGCATCAGCTTTTACTCCAAATCTTCATCATTGTATATTGCTTTCTTTAAAACTTATGGCGTCTGTATTTGCAATTAATACATTGAATTGAGATTGTGTGTGCGTGTGCCTATTCAGTGGTATCTTTCTGTTCCTCCCTTAGTTTTTTGTAGCATTTTCTAAATATGCAAGAATCTTGTAGCACTTTTCTCTCTTTATATATCATGGACTGTTTTCCTTGAAATCTACTTTTTTTTTTCCATCAATTCACAGATGATTGTTCCACATCTGCTTGATATCTGTCATGGTAATCAAAATTTGATTTTTTTTTTCTTCCTAACTTGATTTTTTCAGCTTTTCTCGGTTTCCCTAGAAGCTTAACTTCTACTACAATCATGGCCGAAGACAACACACAAGATACTACTTCAGTTCAAATCCTGCCAAACAAAGAGTGGCTATCTCGGGCACAAGGGCTCGTCCCAAGAGTTGTAGCCATAGCGAAAGGGGTAAAAGTGTTTCCACAAAAGTGGAAGCTTATAATCTCAAGATTACATCACATCCCATCTTCTTTATCGGACCTTTCCACCCACCCTTGCTTTTCCAAGAGTCTTCTTTGTAACGAGCAACTCCAAACCATCACCCTCACACTGCAAGAAACAATAGACCTTGCAAAATCGTGTGTGGAAGCAAAATATGAAGGAAAGCTCAAAATGCAAAGCGACCTCGACTCTCTTATCGGAAAGCTCGATTTATGCCTTCGTGATTGTGGGCTCTTGATCAAAACTGGCTTATTAGCCGAGGTAACTACTCATTCATCAGACGCCACGAATAACGAAAATGTAAGAGAATTGTTTGCTCGTCTTCAAATCGGAGATTTGGAGTCTAGGCACAAAGCACTCGATAGTCTTCTGAGTATAATAAAGGAAGACGAGAAGAAATTGTTCGAAATAATGGGACAAACCCACGTAGTGGCTTTGATCCGCTTCATCACCTCTACTACTTCACTAAAAATAAAAGAAAAGATTGTCACGGTTATTTCCTCGTTAGCCGAATCCGGAATTTTCGACAGTTGGCTCGTCTCAGAAATTGTTCTTTGTCCTCTCATAAAGCTCGTCGGCTCCGGTAATTCATTTTGTAAAGAAAACATCTCTATTGTTCTCAAGAGACTATCCGTTTCCTCCAAAGCATCTCGTTCGATAGTCGATAACGACGGAATTAAGCCTCTCATCGAGATTTGTGCCAATGGGGATTCCGTCTCGCAAGCTTCGGCCGCTTGTACCTTGAAGAACATATCGGCTGTACCGGAGCTAAGGCAAAAACTCGGAGAACAACAAATTGTGAAGTCAATGGTTTCCCTTCTCAACCGCGGAATCTTGCCAGGTTCGAAAGAATACGCGGCCGAATGCTTGCGAAATCTCACTTTAGACAACAACAATTTAAAAAAATCGGTAGTTTCAGAAGGCGGGATCACGAGTTTGCTCAAGTATTTAGACGACAGGTCATTGCCTAAAGAAACCGCCGTCGAGGCATTAGCAAATCTAATCGACTCGAATTTTACGGATAAATTAATTACCTTAGGCGTTTTGCCGAGATTAGCGCGCGTGCTCAAGATCGGCTCGCCTAGCGCTCAACGGGCGGCTGCCTCGGCAATTTGTCGTATTTGCACTTCGGACGAGACGAAAATGCTTGCAAACGAAAACGGGTGCATTGCTTTTTTGGCCAAAATGTTGGAGGCTAAGGATAACGAGACGAGAGAGATAGGCGCACGAGCGCTGGCCAGCTTGATGACTGTCTCGAGCAACTGTAAAGAGGTTATTAAGAGTGGGGATAAGAGTGTGGCGTGTTTGGTGGGATTGCTCGATCCGAATCCGCATAATGGCGGGAAAAAATATGCGGTTGCTTGCCTCGTGATGATGTCATCGAGCAAGAGATGTAGGCGGGTGATGGTCTCGTATGGGGCTGTCGGTTATTTGAAGAAGCTTGTGGAGATGGACGTTGATGGTGCAAAGAGGTTGCTTGAGAGGTTAGAAATAGGGAGATTTGAGAAGTTTGTTCACCAGCTAAGTAGTAGTAGTCGATAGAGGATAATATGTTCTTCTTGTTGTTGTTGTACAATCAGATTTTAGCACTTTTTTTTTTTTTTGTGTGTGNTGGTGAGACTGTGGATGGCCTCTTCTTGTATAAGGTTATGTTCTATCAGGTTTATATTTGAAGGTACAAGTAGCCTTAAAAATGTTGTGAAAAGTTTCATCTGGAGATAAATATTTGCCCAACAGGTATTTGACAGATAAATATCTGTGCGGAAGTGAAGTATAATTGAAAGTTGAGATTAGGACATGATGGTGGTAGTAGTAGCTGCATGCTAATCCCACCGTTGGATCGAATTGATCGCGCCGCTGACGTTGGATGTCTATCCCAAAACACTCGAACCACGTTTTTTTTTTATATAATTTTGTGGAAAATAATGAAATAAGAAGAAAAAGGAGAGGACCAAACACGCCTTTTATTATCGCCTGAGTTTTCTTTTTTTATATGAATCGTTATCATCTCCAAAGGGATATATATAGCATGAGAGAGGAAGTACAGACTTTAGAGGGAGAAAATAAAGAAAATTAATTTCAAGAGACGAACCCATCGGCGGACGACGCCCGGTAATAATCTGCAATATATGCGTACATTTATGGATATTTAGTATTTATATATTCTCTTTATTCTTGTCAATTTTTTGAGCTTCTGTGAGTGTATTTTTCTGTGTGAGATATTACCGATCTTCTGTTTCAGGTACCTATATTTTATTTTGTTTTCGTTTTAGCTGTTATTGGGTTTTTGTCTGTGTCTTTTTCTGCTGATTCTTGTTTATTCTAATTCGATGGAAATGATGGTTTTCGTGTTTTCGTGTATTTCTATATGTATGCCGGTCGTCTGTGCGTTCTTAAAAGCTACTGAATCAGCTTAACTCAGTGGGATTGAAAGCTTATGATTTTGACCGTATGTTTGATGTATTTCAGGTTTCATTTGTTTCTGAACGGTGTTTATTTAGGATTCCTTAGAGACTTAGGAATAGTTGATTGAGGTTGATCTAAAACATAAGGTGTTGGCTGTGATTGGGTTGTTTGTGTATCTTGGTCAATCTCGGATTACTGAAATAAAAGTTCAGTAGAGTTTCCTTCTAATCTTATAAGACGAAACCAAGATTTAGTTTTTATGATAGCGATTGCAACTAAGACCCCTAAGCTCATCAAGTGTTTAATGTATTTTTAGTGTCTCATCTGAAGCAGAATAAAGTGAAAACACTGTATCATGATGTGACTTGGGAGAAAACAGCAAGTTGAATGTAAAAATGATTTTGGATGAGTAACAAATTTAAAGAAAAAAAAAGCGAAATCGGAATAAATGGAAAGTTACCTTGAGATTGGTTTGTTTTTTAATATGGATTGGTAACTTCTCATATGTTAGTTATATCTTCGGTTGAAGTAGTTTCTAACCCTTATTGTAGGGCATAACATGCAAACTAGACCAGGATTTTTTTATTTTATTTATTTATTTTTTCTCAATTCAGTTGATATTGGACTGAGATGGTAGCTAAATGTTTTTAGGATTATAGAGACATAAACATGAGTAGTTCATTGGATGTTGCCCGAGCAGAGCTTGGCCTTGCTGTCTTGTATCTGAACAAAGCCGAGGCCAGGGATAAGATATGCAGGGCTATTCAGTATGGTTCCAAGTTCTTGAGTAATGGGGAGCCTGGGACTGCACAAAATGTCGACAAGTCGACTAGTTTGGCTCGAAAAGTTTTTCGATTGTTCAAGGTCTGTATTTCCAATCAGTTTTCTTAGAATTGTGAACTTTTCTATGCATACACCGTTTTGATCTAATGAAGTTTATTATTTTCTTTCTTTCTGTTCTTGTACTATTAATAACTCCATTTGTGTTCGTAAAATTGGAGTTTTCAACATTATACACCTCCTATTTTGTTTAATTACGTCCATTGGATTGACCAATTTTGTATGTATCTCTTGATTTACAGTTTATCAATGATCTCCATGCTCTAATTAGTCCAAATGCTCCAGGAACTCCTCTTCCTCTGATTTTGTTGGGAAAGGTAGTAACGTTTGAGAATATGGAAACTCCACTTAATAACTTATCATTATCTTACTCTTCTTGTGGTTGTCTGTTTCAGTCGAAAAATGCACTCTTGTCCACTTTCTTGTTCTTAGATCAAATTGTGTGGCTGGGCAGGACAGGGATTTATAAGGTTTGTCTTTAAACTTCTCCAGCTTGAAGTCTTTGCATTTACTTAAAAGAGTGATTCGTCCAATTGTTGCATGAAACAATATAGCGCTTCATATTTTCAGATGCCAACATATGCTACCAGTTCTAATCAACTAATTAGAAATTCTTAGCAGGAGAAGATTTTTTTTTTTTTTTTTAGTTTTGAATATACTTATTTTTTATATTTACCAACAAACAAGTATGTCAACAGCTTATTACGAAAACACTCTCCTTACACTTATTCAGTTTTAAAATCACTTTTTAGCTTTTGTTAGCAAACATAATCAATCTATTATTTCAACTGTTTTTAGCTTCAAGTATCATAACAAATTTCTTAGAAGAAAAAAGCATAAATCTTTGTAAGTCATCTCTTAATTTGGTTAAATGGGCTTTGGTATGAGTAAGTCGAATGCTCTTTTGTACAGAACAAAGAACGCACTGAACTAATTGGAAGGATATCTCTATTCTGTTGGTTGGGGTCCTCTGTTTGTACCACCCTAGTTGAGGTACGTTTGTTGGCGTTCCTTTTCAGTATTTCTACCTTCAAAATGATTTGAACTTTTGACTGAATAAGTTATTCTTTGTGTAATGTGTTTGTTTTGGTACTTGAGATTGGGGAACTCGGAAGGCTTTCAACATCCATGAAAAAGCTGGAGAAGGAGTTCAAGAATACTAATAAATATAAGGTTTGCTGTGTCACCTGCTTGTATAGTTTTATGCATCAACTGCAAAAACAATTCCCAGGTGCAAAAAAGCCAATTATCTTTAAACGTTACAAATATTTGTTGAGGTATTGCAAACAAACACCTCTCAGGTTTTTAGTTATCTCTCTCTCTCACTACTGAAGAAAAAGTATGTTTTATAGTGCCTTTTCTTTTCCAGTTTTGGGACTAAATTACGATGATTGATTCTCCTGAGGCATTTTCTGATCATTTTTTATGCTAACTGAAAATGCAAATTACGGGAACTAAACGTGTCTTGCTCTCAATCAGCGGAAATCAAAAGTTCAATCATCTGAAGCTAGATGCATATGATAAGAGGGTGCTAATAATTAGAAAGTTGAATGTCAGATTATCTAATTAGGTTAAACCTCAAGGTTTAGCACTAGGAATTAATTATCAATCATTTTGAAGTTACAGAGTTGAATTGCTGCCTATACTTATTTAGTTATCCCATTTTTTTGGTCCCTTCTTAATTCCAGAACGAACAGTACAGAAGTAAGCTTCAGAAATCGAACGAGAGAACACTCGCGCTCGTGAAGGCAGGCATGGACATAGTTGTTGCAGTTGGGTTGCTTCAACTGGCGCCCAAGAAAGTCACTCCTCGTGTTACTGGTGCCTTTGGGTTCGTGAGCTCTCTCATCTCATGCTATCAGGTGACCTCTCTATTTCTGTGTCGAAATTACGGAAATTTTTTTGGCTACTTTGGAAAACAGTATTAGCTTTTCACAGAAGATATTGCAGCATTGGTGCTTATTTTTTCCATATTACAAATAAATGCACTGTCTTGATTTAGTTGTGTTTGTATAGTAAAAAATGTGTGGGGTGTAATTGAAATAGAACTGGGGTTTTAGTTATTTTGGTATTCCGACTACCCCATAATCATGTAGTCATCTTTAGTATCAACCTAGAATTTAAAGTAAACAAGAGGATCAATACTTGGTCTGCATGGGATTCAGGATCATTCATTTTGATAATATTACATCTATGACCCTGAAAATTATATATTCCCTCCTATTTTTATTATTTGTGACCTGGGCTTAATTGATCATTGATTAAATAAATGTCGTTTTGGCTATTTTGTTCATATTTTTTCATTTTTAACCCTACATCTAATACACAGTGTCTCTTCATATTCTATCTCCATCGTTTCTCGTAACATCCATATAACATCCATTAAATAGGATTAATATTGACAAGAAAAAAAAATTCTTAATTAGCGTGTTGCTTCTCAAAACGACGAATAATAAAAATAGGAGGGAGAATAATTTAAGACAGTCATATGTGGAACTTTAATGATCTTAGCTTTTGCTAATAAAATGACCCACTTGCATTTTGCAGTTGCTTCCGGCACCACAGAAGGCTAAGACAACTTAAGAGCAACTCAACTAGTCGTCAAGGTAAGGATGTCCTGATATTATCAGAATACTCGGCAGCCGTATGAATATGAACAATTTGCAGGCAACAAATGGGTGCAGTTGAAACAAAAATCGAGCAATATCTTCACATTGTCTATTCCTAGTACCATCGATCATTTTGTTCAACACTTGTAACAGTAATAATATATGCATAATCCATATTTCAAGCCTCAGGCAAGACATTTATAAACATAATTCCAAATATTTGCAATAGGTTTTT